GGAGTTCTTGGGGTCTTCTATATAGAGTATCATGTCATCTGCAAATAATGACAATTTGACTTCTTCATTTCCTATCTTTATTCCTTTTCTTTCTCCTGTCTGATTGCCGTGACTAATGTTTCCAAAACTATGTTGAACAGGAGTGTTGATAGTGGACATCTTTGTCTTGTTCCTGATTTCAGTGTGAAGGATTTCAGTTTTTGACCATCTAGTATGATATTGGCTGTTGGTTTTTCATAAATGGCTTTTATCAGATTGAAGTAGAGACCATCTACTCCAATTTTTTGTAGGGTTTTTAATCATAAATGCATGCTGGATTTTGTCAAATACTTTTTCTGCATCTATGGAGATAATCATATGGTTTTTGTCCATTGATATAGTGTGTTTCATTGATTTGCCTATGTTGAACCATCCCTTCATCACTGTGATGAATCCCACTTGATCAGGTTGTATGATCTTGATGATCTTCTAGATTCTATTTGCCAGTATCTTATTAAGGATTTTTGTATGTATGTTTCTTAGTGAGATTGGCTTATAGTTCTTTTTGGGTTGGGTCTTTCTCTGCTTTGGGGATCAAGGTGATGCTTGTTTCCAGGAATGAATTTGGGAGTATTGCTTCCCTTTCAATTTCTTTAAAGAGTTTAAACAGTAGTGGCAGGAGTCAGTCTCTAAATGTCTTGTAGAATTCAGTGGTAAAGCCATCAGGACCTGGGATTTACTTGGTAAGTTTTAAATTATGTTTTCAATTTCATTGATTGATATTGGGTTGTTTAGAATTTTTAGGTCTTCTTCGTTCAACTTTGGTAATTCAGATGTATCTAGGAATCTGTCCATTTCTTCTGTGTTTTCCATCTTATTAGTGTATAGGTTCTGGAAGTAGGTACTGATGATCCTCTGGATTTCTGCTGGGTCCATTGTAATTTCATCCTTTTTATATCTAATTACATGGATTTGGGCCTTATCTTTTCTTTTTCTGATAAGGTTGGCTAAGGGTTTGTCAATTTTTTTATTCTTCCAAAGAACCAACTCTTGGCTTCAATGATTTTTTGTGTTGTTCTGTTAGTCTCCATTGAATTGATTTCTGCTCTGATCTTTCATAATTTCCTCCCTTGTATGAGCTTTGGGGTTGTCCTGTTCTTCTTTTTCTAGAAGCTTGAGGTTCAGCATCAGGTTGTTTAATTGAGCTCACTCTGTTTTCATAATATGAGTATTTACTGCTATGAATTTCCCTCGTAAGACTGCTTTCATTGTGTCCCATAGATTCTGATATGTTATATTGTCATTTAATTGAAGGAACTGTCTGATTTCTTCTTTAATTTCCTCTGTTAATCATTGGTTACTGGCTGTTCAATTTCCATGTGTTTATACATTTTTGCGGTTTCTTTTGCTATGGATCTCCAATTTCACTGTACTATGGTCTGATAATATACAGGTGATAACTTCAGTTCCTTTGCACTTACCTAAATATGTTCTATGAGTGAGTGTGTGGTCTATTTTGGAGAATGACCTGTGTACAGCTGAAAAGAATGTGAATTCTGATTTTGTGGGGTGGAACACTCTGTAAACATCTGTTAAGTTCATTTGTTCAAGAGTT